GTGACAATATATGTTAGAAGGGGAAAGAGGGACAGGGGAGCAGGGTGGGACTTCAATCTGGACTGGGATTCCCTAGTGAAGTCTGGGGTGGGGGGGGGACTTCAGACTCACCACACAGGTGTCCTTGCCTCCCTTCATGACTCCAGCACACAGCATGGACTCGGTCACCTTGGCAATTTGGGCCTTGGCACAGTTGTCGTTGGGCAGGAGGTCGAGATCCACACACTGAAGCTTCCTTGATAATTTAACTGTGGAAATTAAATTAGAGAGACTCCAGCCGCTCCTGTTTCCGGGGTCTGCACCCGCACCCTACCTGCCCAGCCAGACCACCCTCCACATCCCCCACGGCAGCAGATCCCTTACCTCTCCCCTCTCACTGGGAGACACCCTCTCATCTACTCCACCCCCCCCCCCTTAGACCTTGTCAGCCCCTGTCAGCACCCCCGCCACCCCCCAGATCTTTGCCTTGCCCTGCTCAGTCAAGGGACCCTGGTATATGCTTTTTGGTTGTTATTTTTTGTTTGTACTCAGCTGTGTCAGGGCTTACTCCTGATTCTGCTCAGGGGTCACTCCTGTCAGGCTTGGGGGATCATATAGAATACCAGGGATGAAAACAGGTAAGGCCAGCGCCCTCCACCCGCTGTACTCTCCCTCCCCTGGCATCATACCCTTATAAGGATCGATGCTGCCCCAGCCAGAGGCATGGCACATGCTCCCCACTTGGGGCTCCTGGGTGGGCAGGTCCATGACCTGCACTGCGGGTGTGAGCTTCGCAGGCCTCTCCAGGCGCAGCAGCATGAGGTCATGGCTGAAATCCACTCCCGTGAATGTCTCAACAAACTCCTTCCAGGTCATTTTGTTATTGCCCAGGACATCTAGGAGACTCAGGTCGTAGAGAGGATGCACGACACTTTTAGTGACCTGGAAGGACTGGACTGTGCTTTCAGGAGAAACACGGTCCTGGTGTCCCAGCTTGACCTGATAATTGCTGTGGAGAGAGAAGAAAGGTGGGGTGAGGGGAGAGGAGATTTGAGGATGAGAGGCGAAGGAAAAAAACCGAGGGGGGAGGAGAGACAGATAAAGAGAGAGAGAAGCTTAGTTATGAGGAAGAGGGTACGCAAGGGAAGATGAGAGAGAAAAGGTGAAGGAAATGGACAGAGACATGGGGAACACGAGGGAGGTCGGACAGTTGGGAAGAAAGGGCTGGGGACACCGTGAGCTGGAGCCACAGGAGGGAGGGGTGAGGAGGAGAGAGCCACTGGGGAGAAGCAGGATGAAGACCAAGACAGCTAAGGAGGACAGAGCCAAGAGTGAGCAGGGGAAACTGAGTCAGAAGGGCTTGGGGCAGGATGGGAAGCTGAGAGGGGTTGCTGAATGCATCTGCATTGCGACAAAGGGGAGTCTCCCCATCAGATATGTGACTTGATCTTCATCCCCCTTCCCACACGTCGGGGGGATTCTGGGTGCCCCTTCAGTTCATAGCGGAGGTGGTTATTCAGCAGGGCTGGGGCAGAGTGAGGCAGAGACCCAGAGAGATGGGGCAGGAAAAGAAGGAGATACAGACACAGAGAGAAAGGGAGAGAGAGGAGAGGGAGAGGGAAAGAGACAAAACAGAGGGAGAGAGAGAGGACAGTGAGGAGAGAGGGAGAGGAAAAGAGTGAGAAAGGGAGAGAGAGAGTGAGAGAGAGAGAGAAAGACAGAGGAAGAGGAACCCTAGTCACAAAGAAGGAATCACCAGTTACCTGAAGGAGATGAAGCCCTAGTCAGCACGTCCTCTCTCCCCTCAGGTCCCTGTCCCCACATACCTGGCATAGCAGTGAGCTGCTGTGAGTACCCACTGAGGGTGCACAAGAACACCCCCACACATAAAGTTGTTGAAATGGTACACAGCCGCCATCCACGGCTGGGAATGTCTCTCACACTCCCAACCTCCAATGACCCGGGGGATCTGGACACCAGGAGGATAAGGGAGTACAGCGCCTGTGGGGGAGATTCTGAGTCAGGATGCAGGATCGGGACCCAGGACCGGGGCTGGGGTCTCTGAAGATGGACAGGGTATTTGGATCTGCAGGTGGGTGCAGAGATAGTGCTGTGAGCACAGACCCCTCAAGATTAGGGAGAGAGGAGGCTGGGTCTTGGGGTTGAGTGTTTGCGGTTAGTTTGAGGTACAGGGGACCCCCAGTCTAAGAGGGAAGATTCAAGAGAGCAGGAAGAAGCTGTTGGCAATTAGCGGGAGCATTTGGGGGGTGTGATGGGGATCAGGTTTGGCAAATGATCAGCCTAACCTTTTCCGGGTTCTGAAAAGGACACAGCTTTAGATAGACTTTTGGGCCTGAAGGTGTCATCAGGATCAGAGTGTAGGGGAAGTTGGGATTCTGAGCCAATGTGTGAAGAGAAAGGGGTAGCCTAGGAGAGGGGTGGAGTCCTGGGCCAGGGTAGGGATGGAGATGAATGGAGTGAGGGTTGTGGTGGTGAGTCATTCTGGGACCGCAGAACCTGGGGAAACTCACAGGGGACACATTTCTTGGTCTCAGCCCTCTGGCCTACCCTCTGGCGGAGAGGGGGCAGGAAAACCAGGACTGGGATAGAGTTTGGGATCCAAGGGTGTTTCCGAAGAGCAGGGGTGCTGAGGTATCCCCTGGAGGAAGGAATATGTGGCTTGGGGTTCTAGTGGTTTTGCTGGGCAAGTAGGTGCTTGCCTCCGTGGATGTGGGTCCAAGGGCAAAATTTCTGGAGAAGGAAAGTTTTACAGCACCCCAACTCAGAATGGGGTGCCCAGATGGTGTTATTAACCAGAAAGACATCTGGGAGGACTCGTGGGGACTAGCTGTTGGGAATAGAGGGTGCAGCTGAGAGCTGGCAGTGGGCGGGGAGGAGTCCCTGGGTGGAGGAGGATTTGGGACCCAGAGAACACGGGACAAGGAAGAGAAACAGAATCCCCAGTGTCCAGTGCCATTGCGGTGGTGGGGCATTTTGGAAGAATCAAGATTCCCCTGAGGTCCACCCCTTGTGGGTGTGGGTGAGTGGGGCAGAGGACATTCTGGCTGTTCCAGGAAAGGGAAAAGGGCAGAGTCTGAGAATCAGGGTCCCCTCCACCCCACCCCTTCTGCTCACCTGTCCCTGTCAGGGTCAGAGCCAGGTACAGGAGCAAGACACACATGGTGGCAGAGACGTCCATCCGTGTCAAGCAGGTGGCAAGCTTGGAGCTGGGCAGGGAGTCTTCTCTGAGGCTTTAAGAACTCTCACCCCACTACAGGACCCGCCTCGATCTTGCTGCCACCCAGATGTGACCTGTTCCCAACACTGGACAGACATCCCTCCCCATCACTCCAGTGTACTTTGGGAGGAAGGAGAGTCTGTCTGTGACTTGGCTGGTCCAGAGTGGCAGCCCTTGATTGCTGGCTGTTTTCCTGGAGCCACAGGCCAAGTGGACAGGTTAGAGCACCTGGCACCCTACTTGGGGACAGAGCCAGCAAGGGAAGGTGGTTCTGGTGGCAGTGAGTGACGCAGCAAAAGGAGGACAGAGGAAACCAGGACTCACAACACAGTTTCCCCCATGACTCAACCCCAGGACTTGCGTAGCTTTATTTTTTAAATTTATTATTTTTTGTTTTGGGGTTCCAACCCAGTAGTAACCAAGGGTTATTCCTGGCTCTGTGATCAGAGATCATTCCTGGTGGGCTCCAGGCTTTTAACCTGGCTTGGCTGCATGCAAGGCAAGCACCCTACCTGCTGTACCCAGCCAAATATGAATATTTAAATACCAGTTGTGAGTATTCAGTATCTTTAAATACACTCACTCCCTTCCCCTAGCATTCCTGCAAACCTCCCTGGAGTTCCAAACTCTCTACTCAAATAGATGCCCTGAGCTTTCAGAATATCCCAATTCTTGCAACCCTCTCCCTGCACCCAGGATCTAAGGCTACAAATTGGGGGCTCCTCTCATAATACACCCCGATCTAGAATGTGAAGTTCAGGGTATCCAGAGGCAGTTCGCTACAAATTCAATCCAGTGTGATTCCCCACATCTCACCAATGTCAGGGTTTCAATGAGTCCTCTCTGCTATCCCCAATACCTAGGGTTCCCAATTTCCAGCAACCCCCAGACCAGCTTCTCTTTAAGGCTAAGTCCACCATCTTCACAAATTCCAAGTCCTTCCACCCGCTATCAAAGGTGTAGGTCTCAGGAGCCGGATTCCTGCACATCAACATTGAGCAACCTCAGAAACCACAGCCTGGGGTGCCTGGAAGCTCCACAGACAAGATTCTGGCAATATCCATGGTAAAGCGAAGGAATCCACCTGGTCTCTTGGCTATTTCATCAAATAAGGCAATTTTGGGTTTTCTGCCTCTGTGGTATGTCAGGAACCCACGACATCCAACACATGTTTTACACCTAAGAACCACAGAATCTTTACCATTTTTTCACATTGTTCTTCTTTTTGGCTATATCCACCAGGAACCTAAGAGCAAATCTTGGAGAAAACACAGTTTCTGTTCTTACGCATTTTGCGTGTTTTGGATCCTCAGTCTGGGGCCTGGAGATACTGAGCCAGACCTCATTGTTATGCTCATCACTCATTTTCTCCACCCAACAGCCCAATGATGAGATTAACAATCTGTGGAGTCCTTCTATCTGAGATGGGGAAACTGAGGCTGAGTGAGGTTGGGTCTGAGGCTCAAGTTTAGCCTAGCCTTCTGACTCCTGCTTCAAGCCTTGTCTCCTCACCCAGGATCAGGAAGGAGCTGCAAGGGAACCATGCAGTGGTTTGACCTGTTCCCACCTCTAACTCCCGTTAACCCTCACCCACTCCCAGAAGAATCACACAAACTCCTACAGACAAGTATGTACCAGCGTTTTGTTATCTTGGGGTTCACAGGTGAGTCTGAGCCACAGTGGTGCCCTTGGTGGGGGTGAGTCCTTAGAGAACATCTGGTCCTTGGACAGTTCTGGAGGAGGTCCATTCTTGCCTGGCCAGACATGGGAAGTAGCCACACACTTAGTTCCTCTTCATGGTGTCCCTGATCCACTCCAGGTAGTCGCAGACTTTGGTATAGACTCCTGGCTTGGTGGTAGTGTCACAGGGAACATCACCCCAAGACACAATACCCTGCATGATACCCCCGCAGACTAGAGGGCCCCCAGAGTCACCCTGTAGAAGAAAGAGAACCATGAGAGAAAAACTTCCCCACTCGGTGCTCCCCAAACCCATCCTTATCACATCACAGGCCAGAAAATGTACCCCAATTCTACCCCCAACCCTTCCCAACCCAGCCCTACAGCCCCCAACTAGTGGCACCTAAACCAAGATGCCTTAACTCAACCCAACTCAGCCAACCTAAGCCTCTCCTCAGACCCTCAACCATTCCCCATTCAATACCAAACTAAGCACAAACTATCCTCACTGCCAACACCACAACCAACCCCCACAGATGTCTTTTGCATCTCAAACAAAACCTACCTCCCATAGTATTCCTCCACCCTACCTCCCATCTACAACCCTGTTCACTCTAAGTTCCAGGGACTGGAGAGATAGTACAGTGGGTAGGGTGTTTGCCTTACACATGGCTGACCCGCTTTTGATTCCCAGCATCCCATATGGTCCCCAGAGCACCGCCAGGAGTAATTCCTGAGTGCAAATCCAGGAATAAGCCCTGTGCATTGCCAGGTGTGACCCGAAAAAAAACTTGCACTCTAAGTTCCAATCCCAGTGTACAAGCATTCCTGCCAAATCTGCCAAAACCAATATGATACCACCCAACTGAACCCATCTAAATCCAACCCAACTCAGCCTAACCCAAACCAACGCAACTCAACCAAACCCAACCCAAACCAACCCAAGTCGACCCAACCCAACTTAACCTAACCCAAGTCAACCCATCCAAGTCAACCCAACCCAACCCTACTCAACCCAAACCTCTCTTGGCCTCAGACCAAAGTGCTCACCCTCACTCTCATTGCTCCTCATTTTTAAGCCCCCAAATCTATCCTTGGCATTGTTGTTGGGCCTAAGCTAGAGCCCCACTTCCCCTCCCCCACCCACTGGCGATTTTGTTTCCTGTCCTCCATCCTCCCCCACTGGTGCTCTCACCTCACAGGAGTCTGTGCCTCCACCCTCCACGCCTGCGCACACCATGGAGTTCCAGACGCGCCCTGGGTAGTCCTTGCTGCAGGTGGCATCCGAGATGATGCTGATGTTGGCACAGTGCAGCGTGTCTGGGAGACTTACTGGAGGAAAATGTGGACATGGGGTGAACCCTGGCATTTCCGGGCCCCTCTTGCCCTCCTCACAGGACTCTGCAGCCGGGGTTCCCGGAGGTGTGGGGTCCAGCGCCAGCGTTCCACGCACCTTTAGACTTAGAGCTTCCTGTAGTCCCCGGCCTGCTGCTGGCCACCAGGCCCCAGCCGGACACCACGCACGGCTCTCCGGGTCGTGGGCAGTGCGTGGGCAGCGTTACGGGGCGCACTTGTCTGGAGAGGCGTGCGGGCTGCGCGAGCCGCAGCAGCATGAGGTCGTGGCGGTGGCTGAGAGGTTCATAGCCCGGGTGCGGGATGACCCGCACCACTGTTCGCAGCTGCTCAGAGCCTTCGCGCTTGCGCAGATTATGCTTGCCCAGGCGTACTCGCATGAAGCTGAGCAGGTGGGCCCAGGGAGAAAAACGCAAAGAGCGAGCTTAGGGTATCTGGGTATCCAGCCCTGCCCCCACGGCCCAGGAGGCAGTGACTTCAGCCTCCTGCCCTTAGAAACCAAGGACTGCAAAATTGTGCCGCTGGCCTGGCGTGGAGAGCTCCCACGTGCTTGGTGACCGCCCCGGGCGGAAACGCAGCCCTTGCCTGCAGCTCTTTCATCCTCAGCCCGGGGGCTCCCGAACCCCTTCCCTGCCTCCAGGCCCCAGTCCCTAGGCCCTGCTCTTACCGGGTCTGGCAGTGCGCAGCGGACAGCACCCAGCTGGGGGCAATCAGAGAAGCTCCGCAGTTGAAGCGGCCCCGCTCAAAGAGCGCCACCTGCCAGGGCTGGGAGTGCGGCTCGCACTCGGCCCCGCGCATCACCTTGTCGCCATCTCCCTGGGCCGCTGTGACAGGGGTGAGAGGGGTGCTGCTGGTCACTGCCCTCCTCTCTCCAACGCCCTCGCCTCTGCCTGCACCGCCTCCCACACCCTGGCCTCCCTGGCTGCACATTCGTTTTGGTTTTGGGGTTTGGGACCACATCGGGGAAGCCGGGGTGCGTGGAGAGGGTGGAGGGGATGCAACTCCCGAGTTGTGTTGCTCTGAGTTCATTGGGGATCGACAGTCTCTGGTATTGGGCTCCAGTGCGCCAAGCATGAGCTCAGCCCCTTGCGCTATCTCCCCAAACTTCCTTTTATTAATTTTTTTTGGGGGGGGGAGTTGTGCTTGGGGCTTGCTCGTGGTTCTGGGCTCAGCAGTCCTCCTTGGTGGTGCTCAGGGACTGAAAGTGATGCCAGGGACTGAGCCCAGGTCAGCTACCTGCAGGGCCAGCTGCGGGCCGTCTCTGTCTCTCTGTCTCATAGTACCTTCTATTCATTTTTTGTCATTTGGGGCTGGGGGCTGGGTCCTGATAAACATGAGGACTTGGGGTTGGGGGTCATTCCTGCAGGTGCTCAGGGATCCTTGCAGTGCCAAGGGCACCCGGATTTCTTTCAGCTCTTTGACTTATTTTCTCTGTCCTTTTGCTTTCTACTTTTCAATCATTTTTATTGGTTTCATTATTCCAGTGCAAATATTTGTATATGTCTTTCGCATTAAACTTAATTAGGTGCTTTGTTTTGGTTTGGTTTTGGGGTTTTGGTTTCTGGGCTGCACCCCGTGGTACTCAGGCCTTACTCCTGGCTCTGTGCTCAGGGATCACTCCTGGCAGGGCTCAGGGGACCAAACGGGTGCCAGGGATCAAACCCAGGTCCTGGCTGCATGTAAAGCAAGTGCCCTTAGTGCTGTGCTATCTCTCCAACCCTGAACCTAAATGCTTTATTTTCAGTTCTTTAAAATTCGGCCCTTACGTTTCATTTCCCACCCTCTCTAGCTGCCACGAGCACTTTCTCCCCAGAACTGTCACCCGCCCTGAACCCCATCCTTACTCCTTGGGTTCTGGGGAGGGGAGGAAGCACCAGAGAACAAAGTGTCCTCGGTGGCCTGGTGTGGTGACAGGCAGAGGATGTAATTCCACACTGATGACCCCTCAAGTTCCCCAGCGTGTCACCCACTTCCTGGAAAGTGGCCACTCAGACTGTCATCCACAGCTTTGGCTCCCTTCGGGACTTTGTCACCAAGTGCAGGGTGAGACAGGACCAGGGTGTGGCCACTTGCAGTCTCAGACAAGCAGGCGAGCCAGTCTGATCCTGGCAGAGGGAAGGAACAGAGCTGGAGGCTGAGGTCCACTTGCCAACCTCACCAGCATCCCTCAAGGGCACAGTTGAGCTCATGGACAGGAACTGCACAGCCAGACCAGGTGCCCGTGCTCAGGGTCCAGGAAACATTGGTGATGTGGTGGGAGGTATGTGGATGTTGTGGGTGAGGGGCTAAGCCCAGGGAAAGGGCAGGGGCGGCAGACGGGACTGCGGGTCACTTGGGCTGCATCTGGCCAGTCTTAGCCGGAGGAGGTAGAATGTGGAAGCTCTAGCTGGGTGCAGTGGGCACAGAGAGGGCCTAAGGGGAGGCCAGCAGAGGGTGATGGAGCCCAAGGTTCAGGGGAGCAAGGCTCAGAAAAGCTCACTCTCAGCAATCTGGACTCCAGAGAGCAGGTTATAAGGAGTTTCTGCCCGATGTGCCTCTCCCGCCTCCTGGGGTGCTCTTGACCTGGTACCCCCTCCGAATCCCATTTAGAAGGGGATTCTTCTAAACCAAAACCCACCCCTCCTGAGCTGAGCTCAGTCACACACAGCTGGATACTATTGTCTGAGATAGGTGCTGGCTTAAAGGGAAGACAGAGGAAGGCCCAGAGAGGTGAACCCATTCTCTCAAGGCCACACAGCAAGGACAGGGTAGCCCCAGAAATCCAATCCAGGGCTGAGAGAAGCCTCAGGGGACATGGGGAAGCCCCTGCTAACCAGACATTTAAGCGTGCTATAGGACAGCAGACATTTCGGGGTGAGAAGAGCATCATGCTGGGATGGAGGGCACCCAGTCCCGCTGACCACTCCCCCCATCACCTGCATACGCCAGCAGGAGGGAGGCAGCAAGGAGAAGCCACATTGTGGATGGGCCACCAGGCTCGGCTGACTTCTGGGGAGAGAGTAGGACAGAATGAATCAGAGACCCTTGAGGGTCCCCCTCTCGCCCTTGATGGACCTCACCTGCCTCACTCCCCAGCCCCCAGATGCTTTTCCTCCTGGATTCCTGACTCTTGGGTGGCCATAGACCCCCCACACCCAGGATCATTTGTTCCTGGAACACTCCTTCATCCCCAGTGCCCTGTGTGGGGGTTCTTGTGTCCCTTGGCCAAGTCCCAGTTCTCCCTGGCCTTTGGGGCTCAGCCATGGACACACTGTCCCTCCCCAGGCCCCTGACTCTGCCTCTTCCTGCTGTCCCCAGAGACTCTTTGTCTCATTCTGTTGTTTCTCCATCTGTGTCTCTCTCTGCTTTCTGGCAGTGCTCGGGGTCTTGGGCCCAATGTGCCCACAACTGAGCCAGCCCTTGAGGTCTTTTGCACCCAGAGTGACCCTGTCCCCTTCTGGCTCACTGGCACCCCCAGAATCAAGTCTTGTTCTCCCAGCTTCATTCTTTTTATGGGGGGGCACCCTCAGTTGTGCTCAGGGTTCATGCCTTGTGTTCCTCTCCAGAACTCCCCCTAGCGGTGCCTGGGGACTGTCCATGGTAGAGGCAGAAACTGCTGGAAAGGCAAGTCAAGTTTCCTGTGCAGCTTCTGCCCTGGGCATCAGCACTGCTGCCTTGCTCCTTCCAGGTCTGTGCTTCCTGTCAAGCACACACCTTCCTTGGGCTCCCGAAACCCCGCAAACCCCTTGGGACAGAGGACTCGCTGAGGGTCCTCCACTCCCGACTCTGGGTCCCCTGCCCAGCCCTAGCAGGGTGTATCTCTGGGGGGCCCTGGAGAGTGTGGGATACACTGAATCCCGTGCACCCTCTAAGGCCCAGCCCCCAACTCTCCTGAAGGGGGACCCTTGTGTCTTCCCCGTCTCCACCAAAGTCCAGAGCCCCGAGAATGCTCACCTAGTGCCCACTGCATGCCTGGCACTGCCTGGGCAAGCGAAGGTGGCACGAAGCTGCACCCCTGGGAGCAGCTGGTGTGATTCCTGGCTCTGGGACAAACCTCTGCTGAGTCACTCTGCCGAGCCCCCCCCCCCCAGGTTGTGCAAATCCCTTTTTCAACCCTGGGACATTTTCTTGGATCACACTCCAATTTGGGCCTCAGTGGAGGACACATGGGTCCATCCAGGCACCCAGGTGCCCTTGACACTCACCACCGCTGCCCCTGGTTCAAAGGTGTCACCTGCTTCAGATCCCCCAGCAGCATCGAAGACGGTGTGAATGACAGAGAAGGGAGCAAGCACCCAGATACCTTCATTTATAAGCTCCTTGCCCCACCCAGTGCAGGGGGTTGGTAAGGGCAGGTTGGGAGTTGGGTTTTACAGGCTGGACGCTGAGGTGGTTGGTGGGGCGAGGGACAATAGATAATGAGCATTTCTGCATTTATTAGGTTGAAGCTTCTTTGGGGAACCACACCTTGTGTTGCTCAGGGGTTCTCCTCCCGCTCTGTGCTTGGGGTCAGTCCTGATGGTATTTGGGGAACCAAGTGGTGCGAGGATTGAACTGGGGTTGGTCACATGCAAGGCAAACTCTTAATCCCTTTCCCAGCTCTCAGCTCCCATTTGAAGCTTTTGTCTCTGAGGATTAACTTCCTGTCATCCTGAGGGAGGCAGAATGGTGAAAGCAAGTATTGGAGAAGATAAAAATGCAGAATCTGGGGTCTAGAGCATAGAAACTGGGGTAAGTCACATGTCAGTGTCTGGAAGAGGGTTCTCGATCTAGGGTCCTGATTCTGTGTTCTGGAGAGTGGCTTCTGATCTGATCAAGGTTCTGAGTGCCAGGTGGCATCTCTACATCTAGATTTTGGATCTAGGACTCTAGTTTAGAGCCTTTGTTTTGCATCTCCAATTCTGTTTTCTGCAATTCAGAGAGTGAGACTTGGGCGCATTGCCTAAAATCCATCAAGTGTTTTTAAGTTTGAATTTGTGCTTGCACTTTGGAGTCTGATCTTTGACAAGTCTCACACTAGGAGTACAAGTGGTCTATTTGAAATTTGAAGTCTGAAAGTTTTGGAGCCTGGATTCTAGATTCTTATTTTGTTTTTTAGGGAGGTCACACACAGCAGTGCTCAGGAGTTACTCCTGGCTCTGCACACAGGAATCACTCCTGGAGGTGCTTGGGGAATCATATGGGGTACAGGGAATTGAATCCAGCTTGGACACATGCACAGCAAGCTCTGGCCCCTTGATTCTAGATGCTGAGGTCTAGTAGGTTGTTTCAGAGTGAGAAGTCTGGGCTTTCCAAATTTTCCATGTGCTCTTATGTTACAGTCCAATGCTATATATATGTATATATATATAGATAGATAGATATATACATGTATCTATATATATATATATATATATGACTGGAGCGATAGCACAGCGGTAGGGCATTTGCCTTGCACGCCGCCAACATGGCCGGCCTGAGTTCGATTCCTCCGCCCGTCCCGAAGAGCCCAGCAAGCTACCGAGAGCATCTCGCCTGCACGGCAGAGCCTGGCAAGCTACCCGTGATGTATTCGATATGTCAAACACAGTAACAACAAAGTCTCCAATGGAGACGTTACTGGGCCCGCTTGAGCAAATTGATGAACGGGAGGACAGTGACAGTGACATATGTATATTTCAATATGAAAAGATAATCTGGGGATGCATTCTAGACATCTAGGTCCTTGAATATTCTAGAAATCACGGGTTGAAGAGCAAATGGAACCACGAATGTCCAGAGAATCCAGAACCCCAGAACTTCAGATGTTTTAGATTCTCCAGACCTTCCAAGATTCTGGATTCCAGGCTGGAAGTGATTCCAGAATGCCTTTGTTCCATCACCTTGACAAAGATGAGTGCTCGCTGGCCCTGCGGCTCACTGTGGGCCAGTTTCAGACGTGCAGCGTCTGATGGGTGTTGGCTCCAGGCCACCCTCGTTGCTGAGAGCTCTCATTGTTCTGTCACAAGTCACACCTCCCTTAATGATGGGGCACTTTCTGAGAAGTATGTTGTGGGGTGATTCATCCTTGTCCCAAAGTCAGGGTAGAAGAACAGAGCCTTGACACTGGAGCCTGCTTCCACTTAAGCTAGGAGTTGGGGCCAGCTGGGACCCGCGTTGGACGTTTTGGGAGTCCTCACAGTCCCGGGTGCAAGATCTGGTGTACCCCCGACCGGCCCTGTGAATGGCTAAGTGGCACTGCCTTGCCTTCCCAGGAAAGGCCATGCAGCCTCCTGGAATTATGGGAACGCTGGCCTTCAGGCCCCAACTCTCGGGCACTGGGCAGAGGAGAGCAGAACTCTTGTTCCCATTAGGATGGCTTGTGCTCCTGGCCCCCATGGCCGTGCTGCCAGAGCCCTGGAGGCACAGATGGGCCCATGGAGGAAGTTTCCAGGTAGGTTCCAACTGGGAGACAAAGCCCCGCCCCTCAGTGACGTCACTGCCCGCCCGGCCCCCAAGCCGAGGGCCAGTTCTTACCAGGTGCTTCAGGGAAGCTATGAACTCAGCGTCCAAAGCCCAGTCAAAGGCTCTTGGGGGCCCATTCCCAGCCCCCAGCTCTGTCACACTGTCCTAAAGTATTCTTCTCTCTCTCCTCTAAGCCCTAAGTCCTCCACTCTGTGTGTGTGTGTGTGTGTGTGTGTGTGTGTTATACCCCGATGCTCAGGGGTTACTCCTGGCTCTGCATTCAGGAATTACTCCTGGGGGTCTCCAGAGGCCATACGGGGTGCCGGTGATTGAACCTATGTTCAATCAAGGCAAATGCTACCCCTCGCCCCTCACCGCCCCCACTAGTCCATCCGTTGCCTTCTCTGGCCTTGGGGGTCTGTCTAGTCCCCAGCCGCCTGTCTTTCCTGCTCCCCCAAATGGTCCCCGGAGATTCCTTGCCTGTGCTTCCCTCTGTCCCTGTGGCTTAGTGCCCATCTCCAGCCTCCTCCCTGGCCTCCCACCCCCAGTCTGTCCCTCCACCCCCCATCCATCAGCACATGGCCGCAGAGAATCCCCTCTGCCTTGGGTCACCCAGGGCTCCAGCGAGCCCCCCCCGCCCCCCGTGTCCGGGAGGTCAGGACTTCTGAGGGCATTGGCTAAGGGGGCTATTTGCCAGGAGTGGCGCCCCAGCCGAGGGCAGGAGACCGGTCCCAGGGGTGTTGGGTGTGTGGGGGGGGGGCGCCTCCGGGCTGCCCCGGGAGCGCGGAGCTTCGGAGCTGCAAAGGCGAGGCGCGGGAGGGGTTGCGGCTTGCAAGACCAGTTCACGCAAGGGTGGGCCCCGGCCCGCGGCGCCGTCGGGTGGAATCCTGCAGAATCCACGCGCAGGACTTCGCGTCTCGGTGCCCCAGTTACCGGATCGGTAAAATGGGAGTAACACTCGGCTCCACCTCCCTCGACCCCGTACTCGCCACACTCAGGGTGCCCGGGGAGTACTCCTGGCTCTACTCTGGGAGTCACTCCTGGCGGGGCTCGGGAGCCACATGAGGGTCGAACCCGGGCCATCCGCTCCGACCCTGCTGTGACACCCCTTCATTAAGACCCCCCTCCGTTTTGCCGGTGGGGAAACTGAGGCCAGGGAGAGGAAACGTGTCGTGAGGCTCCAGCTGTGACCAGAACATGAGAAGCTGATTTTCCGGGAGCCCCTGGAGGGAGACCGAGTTTTTTCAGCTCTTCTTGTCCTAGGAGGGCTCGGCCACCAGGTGGCACTGCCGTCTAATGAGGTTTGTTTAGGGTCTGAGTGAGGGTGGGTGCACACCCAGGGGTGCTCAGGGCTCACTCTGCACCCAGGGGTCGCTCCTGTCAGGCCTTGCGGGAGGACCCTGTGCAGTGCGAGGGATTGAATCCGTATCAGCTGCTGGCGAGGTGAGGGGTCTTACAGCCCTATTTGATGTATTCCCTTTCCTTTGTTGCCATGTGGGGTGGTGGGTGCTCCCTGGGCACATACTCAGGAATGTGGGCAGTATCCAAGTTCTCCT